AAGCAGTCAATCCAACAAGAAGACATAACATTTATAAGTATTTATGCACCCAACATAGGTGCTTAACACACCCAAAGGGAGAAACTGACAGCAATACAATAATAGTTGGGGAACTTTAACACCCCAATTATATCAATGGATAGATCATTCAGACAGAAAATTAATAAGGAAACACTGGCCTTAAATGACACATTAGACTAGATGGACTTAATAGATACATATATAGAGAGAGAACATTCCATCCAAAAGCAGCAGTACATTCTTCTCAAGTGCACAGGGAACATTCTCCAGGATACATCACATCCTAGACCACAGAACAAGCCTGGGTAAATTTAAGAAGATTGAAGACATATTAAGCATCTTTTCTGACCACAATGACATACAGCTAGAAATCAATTACAAGAAAACTGGAAAAATTACAAATAGGTGGTGATTAGCAACATGCTCCTGAACAACCAATGAGTCAACAAATAAATCAAAGGAGAAATTTAAAAATACCTGAGACAAATGAAAATGGAAATACAACACAGCAAAATCTCTGGAATACATTAAAGGAGTTCTAAGAGGGAAGCTCATAGCGATATAGCCCTACCTCAAGACACAAGAAAAATCTCAAACAATCTAACTTTACACCTGAAGGAACTAGAACAAACAAAACCCAAAGTTAGTAGAAGGAAGGAAATAATAAAGATCAAAGTGGAAATAAATGAAATAGAGACTAAAACAGACATAGAAAAAAATCAGTGAAACTAAGAGCTGGTTCTTGGAAAAGATAAAATTGACAAACCTTTAGATAAGCTCACTGAGAAAAAAGAGAGAAGGCTCAAATAAATTCAGAAGTGAAAGAGGGGAAATTACAACTGATACCAAAGAAATACAAAGAATCACGAGACTACTATGAACAATTATATGCCAACAAATTGGACCTCAGAATTAGCCCAAATTTTAAAAAATGGATAAATTCCTAGAAACATACAATCTTCCAAGACAGAATTATGGAGAAATAGAAAATTTGAATAGACTGATCACTAGTAAGGAAACTGAACAGTAATCCAAAAAATCTCTCTACAAACAAAAGTCCAGGACCAGATGGCTTCACTCGTGAATTCTACCAAAAATTCAAAGAAGATTTGATACCTATCCTTCTCAAACTCTTCCAGAAAACTGAAGAGGGGGGAATGCTCCCAGATTCATTTTACAAAGCCAGTACTCCCTGATACCAAAACCAGACAAGGATGCCACCAAAAAAGAAACTACAGGCCAATATCCCTGGGCATAGATGCAAAAATCCTCAACAAAACATTAGCAAACCAAATTCAACAACACATTAAAAGGATCATACACCATGATCAAGTGGGGATTTATTCCAATATGCCAAGGATAGTTCAATACCCACAAATCCATCAATGTGATACACCACATTAACAAATGGAAGAATAAAAATCATATGATCATCTCAATAGATGCAGAAAAAGCATTTGGCAAAACCCAACATCCATTTATCATAAAAACTCTCAACAAACTGGGTATGGACAGAACATACCTCAACACTATAAGGCCAAACACAACAAGCCCAGAGCTAACATCATACTCAACAGTGAAAAATTAAAACCTTTTCCCTTAATATAAGGAACAAGACAAAGGTGCACAGTCTCACCCCTCTTAGTCAACGTAGTACTGAAAGTCCTAGCCAGAGCAATCGGGTGAAAAAAGAAATAAAAGGCGTCCAAATTGGAAAGGAAAAAGTAAAATTATCACTATTTGAGACAACATGATTTTATAGAGAGAGAAAACCCTAAACCATATGATAGAGCAATTTCACATTTAGGTACTCATGCAAAAGACCTGAAAGCAGGAACTCAAACAGATACTTGTATACCAATATTCACTGCATTATTCACAATAGCCAAAGGTTAAAACAAGTGTCCATCAACAGATAAATGGATAAACAAAATGTGTTACAAAGATACAATGGACTATTTATACACCATAAAAAGTAACGAAGTTCTGACTAATGCTCAACATGGATGAACCCTGAAGACACTATGCTGAGTGAAATAAGCCAGACCCAGGACAAATATTTGATTTCACTTATATAAGGTACTTGAGAAGTCAAATTCATAGAGATAGAAGTAGAACAGAGGATATCAGGGCTGGGAGGAGGGCAGTTATAAAATGAGGAGTTATTTAGTTGTGGCTCACCTGGCTCCTTAGTTGCAGCTCTCCTGGCTCCTTAGTTGCAGCTCACCTGGCTCCTTAGTTGCGGTATGCGAACTCTTAGTTGTGGCATGCATGTGGGATCTAGTTCCCTGACCAGGGATCGAACCCAGGCGCCCTGCATTGGGAGTGCAGAGTCTTAACCACTGTGACACGTGAGCCACAACTAAGGAGTCCACGAGCCACAACTAAGGAGCCCACCTGCTGCAACTAAGACCTGGTGCAACCAAATAAATAAAATAAATAAATACATATTTTTTAAAAAAAAAGAAAAGAAAAGAAAAGAAGGAGTTACTGTTTAATGTACAGAGTTTCTATTTGGTACGATAAAAAGTTCTGGCAACAGACAGTGGTGATGGTTACACAACACTGTGAATATATTTAATACCACTGAATTCTACACTTCAAAATGGTTTAAATTTTATGTTCACCGTCCACATTTCTGTGATAAATTTTACCACAATTCAAAACACCTGAAGGATTACAAATAACAACAAAAGGCAGAAAGTCTTCATTGTGTGACATGCAGTAGCACATTCATTCTACAGCTGGAGACAAATTTCAATGTGCACATTCTCAGAGCAGAGAGACAGCTGTGGGCCTTAAAGATGGACCCCTGCCCTGCCCACCTGAGCCTGGACTTGAAAAGTATCCAAAGACTTTCTAACAGGTTCATTGGCTCCACCTTCTGAGGCCACACTCTCCCCAAAGAATGCTGTATCTTATCCTGTTTCCTACACTGTATCAGGGTCTATACTGGAGACCCTACGCTGGTCAGAGAGGCCCTTCTGAAGCTGTCTAAGCATCTACATCATGGAAGAAAACAGAGTGAACTTCAACTTCAGGGCTTCTCAGAAAATCAGTTAAGCCTACAAAAGTACTGACCAACCTTTTCCATTCATATTCATGTCATGGCAATACAGCTACAGAATCAGTGGAATGGGCACATTTACAACTTTTATTAAAATTCCTCCTTTGCCCATCGTCTGACTCCAGGCCTCGGCTGCTTTTCTTCAAGTCCCAGACTTGTGATGCCATGCTTGCTACTGTAATTAATTTTAAAATTCTCTGGAATAAGTGATAAACATGGGGCTATATACGTATCTGGGATGAGATGAACTCCTTATAACATTAGGCTTATCGAAGTTCATGCCACGAGCAGACACAGTGACCTGCATCCTAGCAGGATGGGCTCCTCTCAGACGTCACAGAAGACAGACTAGATTGGTAATGAGAAACTGAACAGCAAGAAACTGCCCTGATCACCAGCCGAGGGGTGGTGGTGGGGGTGAAGTCTGGCTGTTGACATGGCAGGTGTCATGCCTTTACATACAAACTGACAGCACCAAGGAGAAAAAGTTCCTTAACTTAATAAATAGAAAGGGAATTCTTTAAAATTTAAAGACATACGTACCTTTTTGAATTATGGTTTTCTCAGGGTATATGCCCAGCAGTGGGATTGCTGGGTCAGGTGGGAGGGCGAAGCTGAGGTGAAGTGAGAGTAGCATCGACATATGTACACTAGCGAATGTAAACAGTTGGCTGGTGGGAAGCAGCAGCACAGCACAGGGAGATCGGCTCCGTGCTTTGTGACCACCTGGAGGGGTGAGATAGGGAGGGTGGGAGGGAGGCTCAAGAGGGAGGGGATATGGGGACACATGTGTGCATGTGGCTGATTCACTTTGTTGTGCAACAGAAACTAACACGGTATTGTGAAGCAATTATACTCCGATAAAGATCTATTAAAAAATATATATGGGGGCTTCCCTGGTGGCGCAGTGGTTGAGAGTCCGCCTGCCAATGCAGGGGACACGGGTTCGTGCCCCAGTCTGGGAAGATCCCACATGCCACGGAGTGGCTGGGCCTGTGAGCCATGGCCGCTGAACCTGCGCGTCCGGAACCTGTGCTCCGCAACGGGAGAGGTCCGCGTACCGCAAAAGAATTAAAAAAAAGTACCATTTTATTGATTTGGGTTTTTTTTTAATAAATGTATTTATTTACTTTTGGCTGCACTGGGTCTTTGTTGCTGCGCATGGGCCTCCGTTAGTTGTAGCGAGCAGGGCCACTCCTTGTTGCAGTGTGCAGGCCTCCCATTGCGCTGGCTTGTCTCGTTGCAGAGCATGGGCTCTAGAGTGCAGGCTCAGTAGTTGTGGCGCACGGGCCCAGATGCTCCGCGGCATGTGGGATCTTCCCAGAGCAGGGCTCAAACCCATGTCCCCTGCACTGGCAGGCAGATTCCTAACCACTGCACCACCAGGGAAGTCCCTGATTTTTGTTTCTGATTTTAAAATTCACAAGAGACCTCAGATACTGCCACGTACATGCTTTTATGCATACTTTTTAAACTGAGTTTTCTTTAGAGCTTTAGATGCAAAAAAAGCGAAGAACCCATTTTCCCCTTGACCTTCATAAGAAGAGCAAAAATATTAGAAAGGCTAGCCACTCCTTAAAATTGGCCTTAAGTACTTTTCCTGTGATATACATTCAAAACATGTATTTGACATATGTTTCTTTTTTTTCATATCTTTATTGGAGTATAATTGCTTTACAATGGTGTGTTAGTTTCTGCTGTATAACCAAGTGAATCACTATACATATACATTTATCACCATTTCTCTTCCCTCTTGTGTCTCCCTCCCACCCTCCTTATCCCACCCCTCTGGCACCGAGCTGATCTCCCTGTGCTATGCGGCCGCTTCCCACTAGCTATCTATTTTACATTTGGTAGTGTTTATATGTCAATGCTACTCTCTCACTTCGTCCCAGCTTACCCTTCCCCTTCCCTATGTCCTCAAGTCCATTTTCTACATCTGCATCTTTGTTCCTGTCCTGCCCCTAGCTTCTTCAGAACCATTTTTTTTAGATTCCACATAGATGACATGTTTCTTGCTTAAGGAGTTTTCATAAGAACTCTTGCTATCCTTAGCACTTTAAAATTAGGAGGAAGAAAAACGTATCCTTCTTAATCACATCCATCTACTAATTACCTAAACTATGCAACATTCATGGGTTTGGCCCGGTTTCATTTTTCTCTATAAGCCACTGATCCCATCTTTGGCAGGAAAAAGACCCTGCATTTCTAGAGGCAGCACAACTAATTATACTAGTTTATCTCCTGTTACCTTATCAAACAAATAACCAAAATGAAAATGATACTATGCTAGAAAAGAACAAAAACACAACATTCTCAATTTTATTTGCCAATCAACAGGACCTACAGAGCCACACAGCACAGATGGACCAATTTCTGCCTCCGTGAATTTTAAACTGCCTTTTACAACATTTCTCTGGTTCTGATGAGCCAGGTTCCACAATATGTCGGCTCGTGAAATTCAAGCAACTGTGCCTTCCTGTAAGCGCCTTCATTCAGCCTTAGCCATAAACTGCACATTGCCTACAAAAGAAACATGAAGTTATTCCAAACTGCCACGCAAGCAGAAACAGCATACAAATGTGTATGGGACGCCTGCAAGTGTTTTTGCTCCTACAGGATGCCCAGAGACCACTGGCCTGCAGCGTCATCCTGAGGCACTGCTATGCCTCCAGGAGTGCCAGAGAGGGAACCGCACTCACACGTTGTGGCACCTGTGAGAAATGGAGCACATCCTCCTCTGTTCTCTGCGGTTGAGAAGGACACATGATGAGGGGACCTGGTACACATACGCGTGCACATTGTTTAAAGAACTCCAAGCAGCTGCACGTGCTCTAATCTAGGAGGCCCTCGTCATGATACTGTTATAGAAAAACTGGACTCCTGAGCTTACAGCCAAAGGACCCGGAACAACGTAAGGAGAGATTTTTCCACCAACCACGCGTATTCATTGTAATATATACCTTCCTAACATCAAGTTTATAATACTTCAGAAAACAATAATTGTAGCACACCAATGATTCTTCTGACTTTCTTTACTCAAAAATAAAAGAGGCACAAAAATATAGAACTAAAATGTCCAGTATCAACTGAAATAGCAGGTTCACCAAAAGATTTAAAGGTAAACTTGAACTGGGGGGTGGGGAATTAATTATAATTATTAGAGAGCCGAATGAACTGTTTTTCAAGAAAGGTATCTCAGGAAAACGCTGACCAACGGGGTAGGCGGTTATTCAACCTTCCGCTTTTAGGGGGAACCGACAGGTCTCAGGGTCTCCTGGGCAGCAGGAGCCACTGTGAGAAGGCCCTCTTCCGGATGCAGCTGACGTGGGTCTTCACGGAAGAATAGACCCTTTCTCAGGCTCACCTCCGGCAAGATTAACCCACCACCCACAAGCACGTTCACTTCCAGGAGCAAGTCAGGTGGGCACATCTCAGGACACAGCCGTCTCTAGGCATCACATTTGCTATCTGTAACACATGGCACACGGCTGGTGGCTTTAGAAGACAAAGTGGGGACCCAGGGAGAGGATGCCGGCGCTGAGCACCCCTACGCATCACGCTCCAGAGTGCGCAGGTCCTCCAGGAGCTCCTGGGCCACGGCCTGCAGGTGAGGGTTGCGGCTCTTGGCCATGGCCAGGATGCGCTGCAGGGGCAGGGAGCTGCGGATCTCCGAGGCCGTCCTGGAGAAGACTTCTGGCTCCAGCACCACAGACTGGACAAGGCGCAGCACGTGAAGACACACCTCTGTGTCCGGGTCTAGGGGGAAAGAGGTAACACTTCTGGTTAGAACAAAACCTTCTACAGGGACCTTGGGACAGAATCCACCCCTCAGGGGCTCTTGGCCTCTCTGAATGATGGATGTGACAGTTTAGTAAACTATGAGCTGACCCCAAACAGTGTCACTTCCTGATGTAAAAGCTTAGCTCATAAGAGGAGCATGACAATGGCATCCTCTAGTAACATCCCACCTTCAAATATCACAGTCACGTAACTTTAAAATGCTGAACTAAAAATATGAGGGCTTTTCATGTAGTTTTCTGTAATTCTGCCCAGTTATAAGATTGCTTTAAGAAGTATTACTTCCTTTTCACTCCAAGTGCAGCAAAGCCCTGAGAGACCACATACAGATATGGCATCTCTTCAGGCCACTGAGTTCCGCAAAGTCACAGCTGCAACACTCAAAGTGAGTTCCGTTTTCCCGTGTGAATGCTCTCTGGAGTTACAGAACCTGGCAGCCCTGCATATACTGTAGCAACCACTAAAAAGCAGCTGGACTGAAACAACAGCCCAACACAAGTTATAACCTTTAACCACCAGGGATCCAATTCTCCTCACCACGTCTCTCTACTGGGAGCCTTTAACATGCTCCTGATTCTTGATTAGATATTGTCATTGGAACCAGACTCAAAATCAGCACCTCCTTGTTAGCACTACACTTTAAAAACCTTTTCAGAAGTAAGTGGGCTGAGAGAGTAGACTGAGCAAACCCTCAGTGGGAACTGCCACAGCACCAAGGCCCCCAGAGCCCTTCCCCACTGAACGAGAGCTACCAGGGCTCAGTGAAGACTGCTGTGTTGGGAAGCGGAAAAAAAACCCTGTCCTACCCTGGGCTCAGACCGTTGAAGTGCTCCTATTCGGGGGAAGGGGAAGGAAACTTGCTCTGGCACAAAAACTGCCAAAGACACAGGCAGAGCGGCTGCCACAGGGAGGAGGACAGGATCATGGGGAAGGCACCACTCAGAGGCAGGTGGATGGGAGCCGAACCAAAACAACAGAGAACTCCCCTGCGTCCTCCAGCGGCCCAGCGAAAGCAGTCTACGGCAGCAGCGGGAGGGGCAAGAGGATGGAAGGAGACCCCTCCTGAGGCACAGACCCAAAGGGAAGGCCCGCAGCTGGGGGTGGAGACTGACAAAGGACTGGCAACTCAGTCCTCACCCGCAGCACAAGGAAGGAGAAGACTGGAAACCAGCGGCACAGAGGTCACCACAGTGACAAAACCCACACCAGCCCAACGCCCACACCGACAGCCCCGCAGAACAGGAGGTGTAAACACCCTCTGTGTACTTCATTCTCTCCTGCAGAGGTTGGTGCACTGTGGCCCAAGGGCCAAATCCAGCCCAGGACCTGTTTCTGCACAGGCTGTGAGCTAAGGTTGGTTCTTACATTTTAAAGAGTTACCTTAAAAGAAAACAAAACAGAAGAATAATATGCAACAGAAACCACACATGACGCTCAAAGCTCAAAGTATTTAATAGCTAGCTCATTACAGAAAAAGTTTGCTGACCTCTGCTCTACTGCCCTCCACACAATGCCCAACACTCAATCAGAAATTACAATGACAAAGCAAGGGAAACAAAACCCCACTGCAGTAATAAAGTAATCAGCAGAGCCAGACTCAGAGATAACCCAGATTTAGAAACAATTAGAAAAGGAATCTGAAATAAATATGATTAATAGATGGGAAAGCACTTTTTTAGGGTTCTTGCAGTATACCTGAAGCAGTACAATATTATTTAAAGATTTTTAATGTTTCAATTGAAAATCTTCAACTAACTGTGATTAATTAATATAATTAATTAATCACAGTTAATTAAATATTGTATTGTAAACCCTAGGGAAAATACTAAAAAGAGTTTTTAAAATGTAAATGATAAGCCAACAGTGCAGATAAAAAAGAATATTAAATAATCCAACAGCGGATAAAAAAGAGGAAAAAAGAAACAACTAGAAATATTTCTGTATTTCTATATACATTAGATGAAAACTGTATAAACACACTGATTAAAAGACAGAGAATGCACAAAACATCAAGACCCAATTATACATTGTCTACAAGACACCCAAGATAAATATAAAGACACAGGTTAAAAATAAAAGAATAAAATCATGCCATGCAAACACTAATTAAAAGAAGTCTGCAGAGCCTATATTATTATCAGACAAGGTGGACTTCAGAACAAAAAATATTACCATGGATAAGGAGGGATTATAATTGTATAATTATAATTATAATTGTATAATTATAAAGAAGTTAATGCATCAAAAAGACATGACAGTCTTAATTAGGTATGTACCTAACAACAGAGTTTCAAGAGAAACAAAGCACAATATGCTAGAAATCCAAGTGCAAATAAATTCACAATCAGAGGTTGGAAACTTTAATACTTTTATTTCCATTACTGATTTTAAAAAAGAAAGAAAATCAGTGAAGATACAAAATCCCTGAACAACACTATCAACCAGCTTGACCAAACATACATTCAAAAGGATTCAAAGTACGTCCTGTGATCACAAGGAATTAAGTTAGAAATAACAGAAATATATAATAACAGAAAATAACAGAAATACAAAATAAATAACAGAAAAATATGTGAAAAAATCTCCAAATATTTGGAAATAAAACAACATACTTCTAAATAATGTATGGATCAAGAAGGAAGTCATAAGGAAAACTAGGAAATACTTTGAACGAAATGAAAATGAAAACACAGTATCATAATTTATAGATGCAGTTAAATCATCGCTTATCAGGGGAAATTATAGCACTGAATGCTCATATTGGAAAAGAACAAAGGTCTCAAATTAGTTACCTTAGCTTTCATCTATTAAAAAAAAAGAAAAAATCAAACCCAAAACATGCCAAAGGAAGGTAATAGTAAAGAGCAGAAATCAATACAAATGAGGACAAATAAAAAACAACTGGGGAGAAAACAGTAAACCCAAAAGGTGACCCTGTTAAAAAAAATCTATAAAATTGATACAACTCTAGCCAGGCTACACAAGGAAAGGGGGAAGGAAGAAAGGACAGACACAGATTACAAATTTGGGGAATGAAAGAGGAGAAATCACTATAGAACCTACAGATATTAAAGGAATAATATAAGGGAATATTATGAAGAAAGTTGTGCCCATAAATTTTGCAACTTGGATGGAATGGACAAACTGCTTGGAAGACATAAACTACTAAGATTCGTTCAAAAAAAGAATCTCTGGAGCAGGGGACATTAGGCACAATTGAAGATGGAGGTTCTGTCTGGAAAACACATTGGATTAAGCTAAAACATACCCACAAATTCTAAGATGCTCCTTCTTCCCCTTCTCCGTTCCTAGAGTTGGATGAGTCTTCTCTGGGCAATCTGAGCAACCCAAGAGGAAACATCTAAAGATACTGACCTGTGGGTTCCCAGTGAATGGCTGAGCCAGCTCACACTACAGTGAAGTTCACAAGCCCCACTCACATGCTCAGGGCTTCCAATCGGCATTATAAATCCCACCCTTAAACACAAGCGCAGAACGATGCATTACCAGACACCTGAGAAGAAGATAATTATCATTTTCAACAAAAACAAAAGGAGGACAAAAGAAAGACTATGCAATGAGAAGAAAACTTTTTTTTAACTTTATTAATCTCCTCCTCAAGGAGATTTTTTAAAACGTAGTATTATCCATTAAGCAAGAATGGGATGCTAGTTTTTTAATTCAAAAAAAAAAAAAGGCAGCTGGAAATTAAGTGCACGATAGTAGAGATGAAGACTTCAATAGGCAGTATGGAAAATAAAGTAGAGGAAATCTCTCTAAAGCGGTACGAAAGACAAAGGGATGCAAACACTTCCAAAAAAACTGAGGAGGAGGGAATGCCTCCTAACTGATTTTATGAAGCCTATATTACCCTGATACCAAAACCAGGCAAGGACAACACAAAAAAGAAAACTGCAAGCCAATATTCTCTGATAAACACAGATGCAAAAATCCTCTATAAAATATTAACAAACTAAATACAAAAAATACATTAAAAGGATCATACACCACAGTCAAGTGGGATTTATTCCAGGGATGCAAGAATGGTGCAACATCTGCAAATCAATCAATGTGTGACATGACGTTAATAAAATGAAAGGTACAAATCATATGATCATTTCAGTAGATGCAGAAAAAGCACTTGACAAGATTCAACATTAACTTATGATAATAACTCTCAATAAAATGGGTAGAGAAGGAGCATAACTCAACATAACAAAGGCCTATGACAAACCCATAGCTAACATCATACTCATTGGTGAAAAACCGAAAGCTATCCCTCTCTAAGATCAGGAAAAAGACAAGGATGCCCACTCTCACCACTCTTATTCAACATACTATTGGAAGTCCTAGCCAGAGCAATTAGGCAAGTAAAAGAAAATAAAAGGCATCCAGTTTGCAAAGGAAGAAATAAAACTGTCACTGTTTGCAGAAAAATGATTTTACATAGAGAAAACCCTAAAGATTCCACACACACACACAAAAAAAAAACTGTTAGAAATAATAAACAAATATAGTAAAGTTCCAGGGTATAAAATCAATATTAAAAGATCTGTTGGGTGTCTTTACACTAAGAACAAACTATCAGAAAGAAAAATTAAGAAAACAATCCCATCTGCAATTGCAACAAAAAGAATAAAATACCTAGAAATAAATTTAACCAAGGAGATGAAAGACCTGTCCATTGAAAACTATAAGACACTGTTGAAAGAAACTGAAGAAGACACAAAGAAGTGGAAAGATACCCCATGCTCATGTATTGGAATGTTATACATTGTTAAAATGTCCATATTACCTAAAGCAATTCCTATTAAAATTCCAATGACATTTTTCACATTAATAGAACAAACAATCCTAAAACTTATATGGAAACACAAAAGACCCTGAAAAGCTAAAGCAATCCTGAGAAAAAGAAAAAAGCTGGAGGTATCACATTCCCTGATTTCAAATTATGCTAC